AGCAGAGGAGAGGGCAATGGATAAGAAAAACCAGCATAGGCAGGAGCACAGGCTGGCAATGCCCTGGCGGGAGTCTAGCACCACAGCTAGCCTCAGCATCAGATACCTCCAGGCTCCTTAAACTCACATCTCTAAGACAAACTCATCATTTCTCTCTCCCCACTTCTCAAATAGGCTCTCTCTATACACACAGCTGACCCTTGAACGATGCAGGGACTCAGAACACCACACTGTACACAGTCAAAAATCTGCATAAGCCTTTCAACTCCCCCAAAATTTACCTACTTATATTCTACTGTTGACTGGAAGCCTTACCAGTAATGTAAACAGTCAGTGGACACCTCTTTGGTGTGTTACATGCGTTACATACTGCATGCTTCCAATGAGGCAAACTAGAGAAAAAAAGTTATTTAAAAAAGCAGAAAGAAAAGAAACTATATTTACTATTTTCTAACTGGAAGTAGATCATCATAAAGGTCTTTATCCTTGTCATCTTCACATTGAGTAGGCTGAGGAAGAGGAGGAAGCGGGGAGCTGGTCTTGCTATCTCAAAGGTGGTTGAGGCAGGACAGACGGAGGAGACAGAAGGGAAGCAGAAGAGGCAGGTGCACTGGGTGTTATTTGTATTGGAAACATTTGAATATAAGTAAGACCTTCAGGGTTCAAATGTGTGTTGTTCAAGAATCAACTGTATGTTGAAAAACCTGTGCTTGCCTGAGCCAGACACCTAGGGATTGCCATGGACGCCCCTCCTCTCTTATTCCCCATTGTGTCTGCAACTCTCCTTCCTTCTCACCCTCCTGGACATCTACTGGTCTAATCTGTTCTTAATGCAGGAGCCCCCAGCTCTCCTCGCGACTTGGGCTCACCGCAGCCCACCCAATCCTCCACCTGCAACTGTAGAGAGCATGTGACCCACCATTGGGCCACCATTGTACCAAGTGCTCAGCACTCTCCAGAGGCCTCAGGCCCATGGACAGCCTATGGCACAAAACCTAAAATCTTGCAAGGTTTAGGAAGCTTCTGCAATGTGCTCCAGCTTCTCCAGCCTGCCCTGTGCCTGCAAGAGGGAGGCCTGTGGCCCCTCTAAGCTGCACATGCCGTAACATATTGCAGCCCACCCATTGCAGTCAACCTCAGGTCATCTTTATTCATCCCTTAGCCTGCTGCTCAATCATTACCTCTGCTATTACCTCACCATGATATCAGGGGCAGCTGACCCCTGCACCCACTTCACACACACCCCAGTAGAGTTCATTATGCTTCATTGTTTGTACCTGAGATTTTTTTCTCAAGAGCAGGGACTGCTGCATCTATATTGTTATGGGATAAACTGTGTCTCACCAAAATTCATATGTTGATATCCCAACCCCTAGTACCCTATAATTAGTTTGGAGATAGGGTCTTTCTAAAGAAAATTATGTCAAATTAAACAGTTAGGGTGGGCCTCGTCTAGTATGACTGATGTCCTTATAAGATGGGATTAGGACACAGATACCACAGAGGGAAAAGACCATGTGCAGGCACAGGGAGAAGACAACTGTCTACATGTCAAGGAGAGAGGCCTCAGGGGAAACCCACCCTGATGATGTTTTCATCTTTTCTATTCTTCAGGACTGTGAGAAAATAAATTTCTGTTCTTTAAGCCACCCATTCTGTGCATTTTGTTATGGCAGCTCTAGCAAACTCAGACATTGCTGAACATTGGTTGAATAAATAACATGTGTAGAATGAGTCAGGAGCACTAGGATGAAAGGCTGGAAAGTTAGGATGAAGAAAAAAGGGTGAGTTCCTTATATACCCAAGCTAAAGGAATCTTATCTTAGAAGATAAGATGGCTGGAGGGATTGTAGTAGGAAAATGGCATTATTCACTCATTAATCCAGTTATTCAACTACTCAGCCATAAAAAGGAATGACTTAACTGCATTTGCAGTGACCTGGATGAGACTGGAGACTATGATTCTAAGTGAAGTAACTCAGGAATGGAAAACCAAATATCGTACGTTCTCACTGATATGTGGGAGCTAAGCTATAAGGACACAAAGGCATAAGAGTGATGCAGTGGACTCTGGGGACTTGGGAGAAGAGTGAGGGGGGTTGAGGGATAAAAGACTACAAATATGCTGCAGTGTATACTGCTTCGGTGATGAATGCACCAAAATCTCACAAATCTCCCCTAAAAAACTTACTCCTATAACCAGATACTACCTGTACCACAATCACTTATGGAAAATAAAATAAGAAAATTGACAAAAGAAAAACAGTTATACTACAGCGAACCAAGTAGACTACGTCCCTGTAGTCAAGGGGTTTGCCGTCTGGTGGAAAGCAATGGAAGATGAACACACAGAGCATGTCATGTAGTGATAAATGTTGGAAATAAAAGCCAGAGAAACGGAGGGAGCTCAGGAGGGTGAGTGGAGGGTATTTTGGACAGAATTCTCAGGAAGTCTGCTCTGGTAAGATGGTGTCTGAGAAGAGCCAGGACGGCAGTGAGGCAGGCTGTACAAGTGAGCATGAATGCAGCAAAGGGTCTCACTTTGGGAGGCCGAGGCGGGTGGATCACAAGGTCAACAGATCGAGACCATCTTGGTCAACATGGTGAAACCCCGTCTCTACTAAAATTACAAAAAATTAGCTGGGCACGGTGGTGCGTGCCTGTAATCCCAGCTGCTCGGGAGGCTGAGGAAGGAGAATTGCCTGAACCCAGGAGGTGGAGATTGCGGTGAGCCGAGATCGCGCCATTGCACTCCAGCCTGGGTAACAAGAGCGAAACTCCGTCTCAAAAAAAAAAAAAAAGGGTCTGTTCAGTGTGCTCAGGGAGCCACCATAAGACCAGTGCAGCTGGCACCACACAATGAAGGATGAGGTGAAGCAAGAGAGGCTGGCAGGTCCTTATAAATTTATAATCCAAAAGAGGAGGGTATTGAGTTGGAAGGGGCCGCTCATAATAAATCTGGGACAACAGGCACGAGAATATAAATTACACAATTGTAGGTCCCCATAGCCTTTAGATTGTACCTTGGGTGATGTGGGGAGTCCTTGAAGGGTGGTGGGTAATGAAGGGCCAGGACCCGGGTACATTCTAAGGAGCATTCCATGTGGAGTGCTGAAAGCAGGGGACATCCAGAAGCTAGACAATGATCTGGGAAGAGCATCTGGGGGTTGGGTTTGTGGAAAGATAAGCTTTGCAGAAGTGAGCCAAAAGGGCTGGAGGAAAAGGGAGAAGCCAACAGCAAGCAGGAAGGCCAGCTGCAGCCCGGGGAATCTCCACGGAGGCATGATGCAGGGGTGACCTGTGACCTCAGGGATGGAGAAGCAAACAATGGCAGATGATGAGGCCGAGCAAAAGGAAGGGTGGAGTGGAGCACTCTCATTGCAAACGTTTTGCCTGGTCTCTGGACATACAGCCAAAGGCACATGGAATGTGTGACAACTTTGAAACTCCTTCCTTTGTCTCAGTGTTCTGGGGCTAGAAACTCCACAATCCTGAAGCATATAATGGAAAAAGTGATGAAGAAATAAGGTTACCCCATACAAAAGAACACCCAAAACCCTGTGCACTTTCACCTTAATTAATGCAGATTGTAAATACTTATTTATAAATGTAAAGCTTGCAAAAATATTGTAAAATAACAATAATGTATAAGAATTCATTAAATTCACATTTTCTTCTTAGGAATGTGTAATCCATTACCAGCTACACTTACACACTTGCCTCCAAGGGCCCCTTCCCCACACACTCATGCCCTGGTTGATGTTCTCTTTTGCAAAGTCCATCCATTGAAATAGCCAAGCACTAGCCCCAGGAGGCCAGAGTCATGCATCTTCCTGAGGAGACAGAGCCCAGCACAGGACAGATGGCCTGCACACTTAACTACCACTGTTTACTGAATGGATGATCCCACCACTGGATTAAGGCTTCCATCCCCAGCTACTCTCCTTGACTTTCACTCCTCCACTTACCCCTCCAATCCATGCTTCCATGGTCATGGCCCTCAAACACCACTTTGTTCTCCAATGGGGAACCTGCTGTCTCTCCCTTTTCCCTCTGGTCTAAACTTCTATCAGTGTCCAATGAGACAAGGGACATTGCCTTGCTTTTGCCTTGCTTCCCATCCTGGATACCCTACCTCTGTTCCACCTCTCCCCATGTGTTCTCAACTTTAGATCTTCCTCCTGCTATTCCATTTTGATATAGGCTTCAGCCCTCCATATGGACCAACCAATATCCTACCCATTCTTCATGGCCCTACCTGGATTTCACTGCTTCCTTATACAACCAGTTAGTCAGCATGACCTGATTCTTCTAAATTTGAATCATCTTCCAATACAGGCCTTCCTTGACCATGCACCCCAGTGGCATGGCCATAAATCAGGCTGTCCCCACCTCTTGCCTACAGTGGCCGCTCTGTATCTAGTCTCTCTCCTGGCACCTGCAGTGGTCTGGCAGGAGAGATCTTCCAGATATCAAGCTAATCAAAATCCCCCACTCATGAACACCCACTTGTTCAGTGAAGTTCAAACTCTTCAGCATGACTAATAAGGCTCTTTCTTCTTAATCTTTTTCTGTGTGTGTAACAGGAAGGAAGGAAGGAGTTGAGGAAAAGCCAGGGATCAAGAAGAGAGAAGGCAGACTAATCTGCTTCTTGATAACCAGTTTTCCTGCTGCCTTTGAATTCTTTTCATTTCAGGACACCCATATGGACCTTCTGCTCCAGACACACCAAGTTTCCACCAACAGCCTCTGTGTTTACATGTGCTCATCTCTTTCCCACTTCAAAACAAATCAAATCAAATTCGATGCCTTTCCACATAAGTCTTTTCTGCCGTTCCCACTGTTGGTGGCTGTGTCATAATTCCATAGTTAACAACCATCTGCTAATTATTTCCTCTTATAAATGTAGACACCAGTGATTTTTTTAAAGTGTCTCTTTCTAGTGCCTTCACTTCCTTACACAATGGGCAGAGGCGGGAGGAGCAGAGCTGTTTACTAACCGACTGATTTGCTGATGCAGCTCCTTCTTGGTCCACTGCGGCGCCTTTATGGAAGCAAAGATCAGCAGATGCTCCCGGACGGTGAGGTTGTCCAACAGGATGTCCTGCTGCGGACACACACCCAGCTCCATTCTGACCTTCGACAGGTCTGTCTGCAGGTTCTTGCCATTGATGATGATGGTTCCAGAAGTGGGAGGGTACAGTCCCATCAACATGGATCTGCCAGAGAAAATAAGTCAGCATAGGGAACACGTGCTGCTGATACTCTGAACGTCAGCAATCCAGTCAGCTCCAGGATGACACATGCATCCTGCCAAGAGCACTCACTCTCTGCTGATCTGGTTTTTACACAACCAGTTAAAATGTGTGAGGAGCTTGAGGGCATGTTGGCTAGTTGATCTTGGAAATGTGAGCTTAAGATAATGTTTATGCTTCCACATGAAATACAAATGCTCCTTGACTTTCAATCAAGTTATGTACCAGTAACCCCATCAAAAGTTGAAAATATTGTAAGTCAAAAATGCATTTAATACATCCAATCTACCTAACATCACATCGTAGTCTAGCCTACCTTAAATGTGTCCAAAACATTTACATCAGCCTATATCTTGGCAAAATCATCTAACACAAAGCATATTTTATAATAAGATGTTGAATATCTCTTATAATTTATTGAATATTATACTGAAAGTAAAAAGGAGAAGCCCTGTATGAGTCCTCAAACTATGGATTCTACCTAATGTGTATCACTTTCACACCATCATAAAATCAAAATATCATTAAATTGAACCATTATAAGTCTGAACAGTGATCACAGAGCACCATAGAGCATTATTGTTTTTTTGTTTTTGTTTTTTTTGAGACGAAGTTTTGCTCTTGTTGCCCAGGCTGGAGTGCAATGGTGCCATCTCGGCTCACTGCAACCTCCGCCTCCTGGGTTCAGGCAATTCTCCTGCCTCAGCCTCCTGAGTAGCTGGGATTACAGGCACGTGCCACCATGCCCAGCTAATTTTTTGTATTTTTAGTAGAGACGGGGTTTCACCATGTTGACCAGGATGGTCTCGATCTCTTGACCTCATGATCCACCCACCTTGGCCTCCCAAAGTGCTGGGATTACAGGCTTGAGCCACCGCACCCGGCCAGAGCATTATTGTTGTATGAGACTTTAAGATGATAACATTCAACTTTTTACAGATGAGAAAACCTGCCAAATAATTGACACATTTACCTAAATCCTCATCATTAAATATAAGCAAAACAGAGATGTGAAACTAGCCCCCAACCCTGGAGCCAGTCTTCCTTCTGCTCCTACCAGGATAGTCTGTGTGTGCTGAAACAACTCAGCCCGGCGCAGTGGCTCAAGCCTGTAATCCCAGCACTTTGGGAGGCTGAGGCGGGCGGATCATGAGGTCAAGAGAACGAGACCATCCTGGTCAACATGGTGAAACCCCGTCTCTACTAAAAATATAAAAATTAGCTGGGCATGGTGGCACGTGCCTATAGTCCCAGCTACTTGGGAGGCTGAGGCAGGAGAATTGCCTGAACCCAGGAGGCAGAGGTTGCGGTGAGCCAAGATTACACCATTGCACTCCAGCCTGGGTAACAAGAGCGAAACTCCGTCTCAAAAAAAAAAAAAAAAAAAACAACAAGAACTCAAGTAATCCTGCCACCACAAGCTCACACATCTGACTTTACCAGCAGAAGCCTGAGAATTGCCTGGTTCTGCTTCCTTGTTTCAGGAAGTTTATTATTTAAGTTTTAAATTCGTTTCTTATTTCTGAAAAGTTGAACATGCCCCTACCAGAAGATCTAGCAAATCCACTCCTTAGTATTTACATATGAGAGATTAAATGTGTGCCTACACAAAGCTGCATGCACAATTGTTCACAGCAGCTGCCTTCATAATCACTGACAAAGAGAAACCTCAACGGCAACCCACATATGAAAACATAAAGAAAATGGGGTGCCTCCACCTAGCGGATACCACTCAGCTGTCCCAAGGAGTAGTCTACTGGCTCACCACCACCATTCCTGGTTCCACAAACAGTCTGCTTAGTAGAAGAAGCTGGACATGATCCCATTTACATGAAATTCTAGAATAAGTAAATTAGTTTATAGTGACAAAGAGCAGATCAGTGGTCACATGAAGGCCAGGGTCAAAGGAGAGCACAGGAAGCCTTGGAGCGGCATAGAAAGGTTCTGTATTTGTGGTGCTTGTTCCAGCGCTAGCCAAGTGTGTCAAAACTCATCAAACTGTACATATCAACAGATACTGTTTACTGCACAAAAATTAGACCTCAATGAACTTATCAACTCTTTGCTATATTATTTTCAAACCTCTCTGGGGGATACTATAGAATAGTTTATACACATTTCCTGGAAGTCTCAAAGAATTGTTTTAAATAGTGAAGACACTGTCTTTAACCTCTCAGCCTTTCAGCTAAGAATTGCCAGGTGAAGGCAGCCGCTTGGGATGACTCAAAATGTACTACAAATGTTCACTAAAAACAATGCAGTCATTAAACCTTAAATCATCGAGAAACTCCAAATGTAATTCTCATCATTCTGCTTAACAAGCAGCTCAGGTTTTCCTTTCAAGAAATGTGTCTTAGTAAAAGCAAAGTTAGAGGAGCTGGCTGGATGAGTCATTATCTGTGTAACTTGTGGTTCCCCAATTTTCAAACACACAAGAAAATACTCAGACTCATTTCCAGGTCCATTTCTGTATCCAAGGAACAAATAAAAACAGTCCATTTTCTTTCTTTCTATTTTTTCAATATGAGATTTCTGAAGTTTCATGTGTTATTGTTTTACCTTTGTTATTAAGTTTGAGGCAAAACCCTTTTCACTGTTTTAACAATTCACACTTTAATGCTACAAATTTCATGAGAAAAGAACAAAAGAGTAAGTAATTTGTTCAAAAGACATACTTCATAATTTCCATAGATTAACCTTAAACCTCCACTTCCACAGCCAGCCCAGGGCTGTGAATGTTTGAATTCCTTGTTTCTCTGGGAGCACATGATTTGATTCTTTAATCAAATCTAGAGCCACTGGATCCTAAACCAAACATTCACCCTTAACAAGGAAAGAAACACACAAAAATGAGAACATGGAAAAGAAGAATAGTCAGGGGTTTAAAAGATTTGCAAATACCACTGTGATATTCCTCTTTCTATAGATATGCAAGCAAGATTATACTTAGTAGGACAAACATCAAAAGTATCAAAGGACTTTCAGAGACTAAAGTACAACATAGTAAATTATTTGCAGAAAATAGAAGAAAAACTTTTAAAAACCCATTCACCCCTAACTCTTTGACTGAAGCCCAGACCTAAAGTGCACCTGTGCGGCTGAGGAAACAGGGCCTCCCTCACATGGGAACCCGTGAGGGGCTCTGCCTTTCTCCGGTGTCTCTAAACTCTGCACTGAGGCTCCACATTTTTTAAATAAGGAAAAGAAATCAAACCTTCTGTCTCACAGGTAAACTGAAATTTTAAGAATCCAATGTCTAGTGTTTGATAAAAGCAAAATGGCACCTACACAATGGTGGTTTTCCCGGCACCATTTGTCCCCAGCAGGGCGGTGATTTGGTCTGTGTAGAAGGTGAGGCTGAGGTCTTGGACTGCAGCCTTGTGGCCCTTGTATTCCTTGGTCACAGACACCAGGGTGACTCCCGAGGGATTTCCTTCAAGCTCTCCTTTTCTGTTTTGCAGTGATGACCCTGTGAGAGAGATGCAAATTCACTGTGAAAAGACTTCAAAAGCCCTGAAAATAATACTCATTTTTATTAATTCAATGTACTGCTTTGAAATTGAATTCCAGCCCTGTGAAGCATACAGATCAACTCAAAAGTCTTTCTTTAGCAAGAACAAGAAGCAGACTATAAGTGATATCACTGATTACAACTTTTGAACCCTTATGATAACCATTTTGTAAAAAGCTAAAAATAAAAACACACACATGTATTTCTGTTTGCCGAGAGAAAAAAACAACAGAGAGAATAGTTACACATGAAATGCTCATGACAAATAGTCTCCTGAGAAGGTGAGAGTTGATAGGGGCTTGTTGTTGTGTTCCACATTTTCTAAAAGATTCATAATTTAGAAAAAAAATTAGATTGTTTAGATTACAGTGTTGACTTGTAATCTAAACCCACCATGATGGGAGCTCGTTTGTCTCTGGGTAATGCATCTATATTTCCATGGAGATCCCCTCTGAAGTCATCCTTTGGCAGAGGTGCCCTGCGCCTGCACCTGCAGGAATAGGCCATGACTCTGGAGTGTAGAGGCCCAGGGACAGTCCTGCCCCTATCTCCTGAGAATCATAATCCCTATTTGTAAGGGACAGTGATGTTGTGCCTCACACAGGAACATTGAATAAAGTGGCATGGGTGAGAACTGGGGAGGGATAGCCTGGGGAGAAATGCCAAATGTGGGTGAAGGGGAGGAAGGCAGCAAAACACACTGCGATGTGTGTACCTATGCAACTATCTTGCATGTTCTGCACATGTACTCCAAAATCTAAACTGCAATAAAAAAAAATTTTTTTAAGTGCATGACAGGGTAGCTGCCCATCTTTGCTTTTATTTCTTACACATATTCATTTTTGGAATAAGGCTTCAATTTTACTAAATTGTAATATATACACAAATGCACATAATGCATAGAGGGGAGGATGCTAAATAATAAATAATGGGAACTCCCTGGGGTTCCTGGGTTTCACAGAACAAACACTGTCAGGGCATACTGCCTCACATCTTGGCCTTATAACTGTTTCCCAGCTCAAGACAGCCTAAATGTAAGTATTTCTAGGAATCAGCATACACTTGCAAAAGTTAGACCAGAGAAAAAAAAATCAAAATAGATCAGAGGAAAAAAACATGCATCTAATAATTCTACTCCTTACAAACCTTTACTGTCAAAGTTCTCACTGAAGAACAGACTAGAACTTAGAGGGTGTTGCCTTTTCTCCACCAAGACACCCACACTCTTCCAATACGAGGCAGTAAAGGGGAAATACCATGGTTTCCGTAGACCAAATGTTCCTAAAAAATGAGACAATTAAAATTAGTTTTAATTTTTCTACTTAGATGAAGATTCTGTTTTAGAATATCTTAAGTAATTAATATAAAGTATCATTCCACATAAATATTTTTAATATATGTCCCATATTCAAAAAAGTGATATCCCAGGACATTGCAGTGAAGCCCTAATTCTCCCTTCTCAGCCTGATCCAAGGCCATGTGCTAAAACCACCTCTCATCCACTTGCCCCAAGAGGCCTTTACAGTAGGGGTTAAATAAACACTTTTTGGACAATTGCTGAATATTCCCCAGAGTAAAGTCCCACCCTACCCCACACTGCTCTTCTACTTTGTGACTGTTCTTCTTTTATCTATTTTTGATGTTTGCATGAATTCCTAGACAAGAGGATGAACATGAGGTAAGTGCATGAGGGGATTAATCAATTGAAACTTCCACAAAGAAGAATAATTTATATTGCGAACATTTCCATATGAAACATATTATCGTTCTTCAAAAGTATTCTGCAAATTCATTTCAGCCCATTTAGCAGTCACTTTGCCCTCATTACATGTTGAAATGAAAGGGGATTTAATTATTAACAATTCCCAATTTTCTTTGAACACATCCATTCTAGTTTAAGTTTGATGAACGCAATTTACCTAAAGGCCTCAATTCTACAACTGATTAGAATTTAAAAGGCGTATATAAAGACTATTATAGCACTTTGATCATCAAGCAGAAGAGAGATATGCAAGTCCTCACACAGTCTAATTTGAAAAATAGAAAGAGATGTTCACCGACTCAAAGGAGAGCAGATGTATCCATTAGCTTTTGAAAGTCAAGGGAAGTTTTGCAAAATTTTTCTCCCATTCTGTAAGTTATCTGTTTATTCTGTCGATAGTTTCCTTTGTTGTGCAGAAGCTCTTCAGTTTAGTTAGATCCCATGTGTCAATTTTTGCTTTTGTTGCAATTGCTTTTGGCATCTTCCTCATGAAGTCTTTGTCCATGACTATGTCCTGAATGGTATTGACTAGGTTGTTTTCCAGGGTTTTTATAGTTTTGAATTTTACATTTAAGTCTTTAATACCTCTTGAGTTAATTTTTGTATAAGGTAATAAGGAAGGGGTTCAGTTTCAATTTTCTGCATATGGCTAGCCAGTTAGCCCCACACCATTTGCTAAATAGAAAATCCTTTCCCCATTGCTTGTTTTTTCTGGTGTGTTTAAGATTAGAGAGTTGTAGGTGTGTGTTCTTATTTCTGGGTTCTCTATTCTGTTCTGTTGGTCTCGGTATCTGTTCTAGTACCAGAACCATGCTGTTATGGTTACTATAGTTCTGTAGTATAGTTTGAAGTCAGGTAGTGTGATGCCTCTGGCTTTGTTCTTTTCGCTCAGGATTGTCTTGGATATTTTGGCTCTTTTTTGATGCCATATGAATTTTAAAACATTTTTTCCTAGTTCTGTGAAGAATATTAATGGTATTTTTATGAGAATAGTATTAAATCTACAAATTGCTTTGGCCAGTATGGCCATTTTAATGATATTGATTCTTCCTATCCATGAGCACGAAATGTTTTTCCATTTGTTCTTTTCATCTCTGATTTCTTTGAGCAGTGGTTTGTAGTTCTCCTTGTAGAGACATTTCACCTCTTTTGTTAGCTGTATTCCTAGGTATTTTGTGTGTGTGTGTGTGTGTGTGTGTGTGGCAATTGTGAATTGGAGTTTGTTACTGGCTTCACTCTGGGCTTGACTGTTGTTGCTGTATAGGAATGCTTAACTATGAATCTAACAAAGGTCTAATATCTAGCATCTATAAGAAACTTAAATTAAGTAAAACACAAACACTCCATTGGAAAGTGGGCAAAGGACATGAACAGACACTTCTCAAAAGAAAATATACATGGGGCCAACAATCATATGAAAAAAAACCTCACTATCATTGATCATTAGAGAAATGCAAATCAAAACCACAATAAGCTACTATCTCACACCAGTCAGAATGGCTATTATTAAAAGGTCAAAAAAACAACAGATGCTGGTGAGGTTGTGGATAAAAAGGAATGCTTATACACTGTTGGTGGGAGTGTAAATTAATTCAACCATTGAACCTGGAAGAAGACAGGTGGTGGTTCCTCAAAGACCTAAAGACAGTAAAACCATTTGACCCAGCAATTCCATTACTGAGTATATACCCAAAGAAATATGAATCATTTCCTTATAAAGACACATGCATATATGTATGTTCTTTGTGTCACTATTCATAATAGCAAAGACATGGAATCAACCTAAATGCCCATTGATGATATACTGGATAAAGAAAATGTGGTACATATACACCATGGACTACTATGCAGCCATAGAAAAGAATGAGATTATGTCCTTTGCAGGGATGTGAATGGAGCTGGAGGCCATTATCCTTAGCAAACTAATGCAGGTACAGAAAACCAAATACTGCATGGTCTCACTTATAAGTGGGAGTTGAATGATAAGAACACATGGGGGAAACAAGATGCACTGGGGCCTTTCAGAGGGTGGAGGATGGGAGGAGGGAGAAGATCAGAAAAAAATAACTGATGGGTACTAGGCTTAATATCCGGATGACAAAATAATCTGTACAACAATCCCTCATGACATACATTTACCTAGGTAACATACCTGCACATGTACCCCTGCACTTAAAAGTTACAAAAAATAATGATAATAAAGTAAAGGAAAGCTGTTGACCTGCTGTCAGGTGTAGCACTGCCTTTTGTTTGCTGACTGAGCTGTGTCTCATATGTTGAAGTTCTAACTCCCTGTATTTCAAAATGTGACCATATTTGGAGATGTGATCTTCAAAAAGGTAATTAAGGCAAAATGAAGTCACAAAAGCAAGGACTAATCCAATGTGAGTGGTGTCCTCATAAAAGAAAACTTGGACACAGATACACAGGAATGACACAAAGAGTTGACACCATCTGCAAGCCAACGAGAGTGGCCTCAGGAGAAACCACCCCTGCCTACACCTTAGTCTCAGATGTCCGGCCTCCAGGACTGTGAGACAACATATTCCTGTTGTTTGAGCCACCCAGTTTGTGGTACTTTGTTATGGCAGCCTGAGAAAATTAATGCAGTCAGGTGTTCTCCAAGAACCTAGCAAAGCAATAACTATCCCTCTGTAGGAAGAGGATGAGTAGCAGCTGGATAATCAGGTCACATCACAGCCAGCATTCCACTCAGTCTCTCTGTTCCAGGCACTGTTCAGAGTACCTGGTTGTATTAATTCACACAGTCCTGTGACCACCAACATGTCAGGTACAATTATCACCTCTCCCTTCCCAATGAAAAAGGAAGGAACAGCAAGGCTTGCCCAATGACCCACAGTTGGTGGCTCCAGAAGCTACCCACTGGCTAGCCTCTCTAGCAGAGGCTGCTTGTCTGAACACACAGGTGCAGCAGTCAGGATGCTTTGGGTTGCATTCTACAACAAGAAAGAAGCACACAGCTTCTTCCAGTACCAATTACACAATAAGCCCCAGTTGACACATACATGAAGAATGAGAGTGTGGAAATCAAAGGAGATAGAAAGCAAGCAAATACATGAGGAAAATAAATCTCACAAAGCTGTAGCTTTGGGCTGAGAGGCCTCCCAGGGAACCACACTCAGTTGCAGCTTAAGTGAGCACCATCCTTAGCAAACACAGTCGGTAACGGGATCTAGATGCCTTAGAGTGTTTATAGATTTAAATTAGCAGTCAAAATTCTAGGAATCTAGATGACACAATGACAAAGTGGGGACATAGATCTGAACATAAATATATTCACTGTAGCATCATTTATAGTGGGGAAAAGGCAGAAATCATTTAGATTTGCAAAGTAGGAGAAAGGTACCGGAAGTTATTACTTCCATCTAATGAAATGTTGAGCAGCCATTAACAGTACGTTCAAAGATGTGGATAAATGCTTAGAATAAAAATATTTTTTAAAACATAGAGGGAAATTTACATATATAGTGTAAACCCAACTAGGTGCAGAAAACTGTCTGGAAAAAAGCCTGGCCAATGTTGGTTCCGGTTAGTGAATCTGAAGATAATTGAATTTTTTTCCTGCTTCCTCATAAATGTTTCCTGCTTCTTTATAAACTTTTCAAACATTTTACAATAAGCACATCTCCATCTGATGTTTTACAGCTCAAGTTTGCAGAACCTTAGGGGAGAAAAGAATATTTCATACATGCACATTCTAAAGGTAAAATGAGGCACGATTTACCTGCTCCAAATGAAGTCATTGAAACCTTTACATATTGAGTGTACACAAGGAAATCCTGAAGCAAGCCTCAGCTCTGCTTCACTTCGATACAAGCGGAAGTTGTACAAAGATGAACATGGTTTCAAACTTCAGGCCATGACTCAAAGTGAGGATCACCATACATGTGTGTGTGCACACACATAGTATACCCACCTACACATGCACACACAGGCATTCACACACGAGTACACACGTACACATGCACATACTCATGCAGTATGTGCACACATGTACATGTACACACACACAAGCGCGCACACACAGACAACTGCAACAATGTCAGGTGTCATCAGTTTCTTTCAACCGAGCTAAGACATTACTCCTTATTAGTTGTGTCCTTGTTTTCTCACTTGAGTCTTTGGAAAATGACACCTTCCTCCAGCCCTGACTTACTGTGGGAGATGCTTTGCTAAGGAGTGAATAATTAAAAATTTCGTACAGAGGTAGGAGGGGAGTGGTTGGCTCATCTCCCGGGCTCACACTTCCAGCTGTCAGTCCAAGAATGAGCAGGACAGAAGGAGCCTCAGCACAGGGACAAAGGGGCAGAGAGGAGGTCCCCTAGATCTGAAACATCCTATCCCTTGCCCTTCTGCTCTCTGGTTTATATCTTCCTATTCCAGGGAGATGTCAGTCATCAAACGGAAATCAATGAGTCACACCCTCTAGTGGGATGAGGGAACACACAAATCAATCAGGCAGAGACTGCACCTGCTTATGACCTTTCTTCCAGTCCAG